CTTATTGGAAGCTAAAACAAACTCTGCAGTGCATACGCCGTGAGGGCCGTCATCGACACGAGCATCAGGGCATACTGCGGAATGAGGAAGGCAGACAGATGCTCCGCGCTCCCCGTTCCGCTCGCAACCTGCGTCACGAACACCTGTGTCGTCGCCGTGGGCAGGCACGCAAAAAACCTATATCACAAAATTATCAGCCATCATCACACGCCGAAGTTCGTTTCATAGCGGAGGACCAATACGCACATGCAGACAAACTGGAGCACTTTGTCGTCCGCAGAGATAACGCCGGCGCGAACCAGGCCCTTGCATATTAAGACCCCGACAACAGGGAGCACCAGTAAGCGGCCGACGCTGAAGGCGAGGATCGCACCGATTGGCAGGCTGTCCCACGAGCCGCGCGGGATGCGCAAGCGGGCGAGGGCAGAGCCGAGGCACACGAGGCCCATGGGAACAGACGCCGCGCCGATAAAGGTCGCCGCGTCCATCACGAAGGCAAGCGGCGGCTGCCCGTCGGGGGCGGGCGCGATATGCATGCCGTCGACGGGGATAAAGAGCGCCTTCAGCGGGGGCGCAAGGGCGATGACGAAGGAGCCGATGATAGAGATGGATGCGGGGATACACAGGTTGCGCAGGAAGGTCAGCACTGCGCTGCGGATGCGGCGACCCCTGCTGATTGGGGCGGCGGTGGTTGAGGAAGTGGGAAGGAGATCACGGTCGTCTGCTTCAGCGACGTCGACCGCGGTTGCCGTGAGTGCGGGCGAGATTATTCCAGAAGGCTGCCCGTTTGACCGTGAACCAGAAATGTGGTCGCCCCGTTCTCTGTCTGCGCCATCGCCGAAAGATACATGTCTCGACGAGAGGGGAGGGCGTGTGGTGCGGACCTCAGGCGATTTCTCGGCCTCATCAACGACACGATTATCGTCGCTGCGGGATTTATCGGCGAAACTATCGGGAAACCTAGCATTTCTGCGAGCTACCCGCCTAATAATGTGCCGGGGCCAATGCGAGAAGATGCGTCTCCGGCGCTGGCGTAGTGCGTCCTTGACGTCCTTATGCTCTACATCTGGCCCGACAAAATCGAGAGCGACAAGCCGATTTCCGCCCATTGGGAAGAATGTTATCTGACGTGTATGATTAGTTGAATTCTGAAACATCCACTTCCGACTCACCACACCGACTAAAATGAAACCAGAAATGTACCCGACACTCAGTGCTTGATCGGCGCTTCCATCGAATGGTGCGGCTCCCATGATGCTGAGGACAACCGCGGTGGCTAGGAAGAGGAGTTGGATGATTGGCAGGATACAGCGTTCGAAACGAACGTACGTATATCGCCAACATTCCCCCAAACTCCTGCCGCAAGAATTCCCCAACGAAATCTATGGGGAACCCAGAAGAACTGGGTCGCAATCCACGCAACGAGGAGCCCGAGCGCCTGATATAAGACTGCTACGAGGACAATCGGCCCTGCGAAACGCAATAAGTTTTTTTCAGACAAGGGGATCCTAGCTTACCAAGAGCAGCTATATTCTGAACGGAGAACGATGGCACGATCTTGGAGAACATGAGGCTTGGGTACGTTATATTCTACGGGCAATGAAGTATCAGTCCTGTCGTGGGTCGGGGTGCGCCGTTCTGCGACACGGGGATACTGCGAGCGTACGAGCAATATCTGGCTGGTACCCTGCGCCGCAACAGCAGGGAAGAGGTCTGTCCTCGTCAGAATGAAACCGCACCCCGTGCATATAATCCTGCGAAGGAGAGGGTCAAGGTGAGCCATTGAAGGAAAGAAACCAGAGTGAAACGAACAGGCGGAAAAGGGGGCGGCAACTTGTCCATATTAGCTGACCGACAGAGAGCATTTTGGTGGTACGAGGGGAGGGGAAGATAGTGGGCGAACACGAGGATTATTATTACGACTCTGGTGCCATTGGTGTCCGGACCGAGGACCGGCTATACACCTATCTCGTCAAAGTTATTCCGTTTATCTTGGCAGCAGCATGTATCGGCCGAAAGGATTAAGCGGCATTTCATTTGGAACCAAATCCGGCTTAATTTAAGGGAGAGAATCAGCACGATAATGCGATTAGACTTGGGTTGTGGGGAATCATGGTGGTTGCAGTTCAAGAGCAGATGTCACAGATGTGACCATGTCAGTTCAAGTGATACGCTCGGCTTTTCCCGAAGCTCCTGTTTCTCTCCCCAACGTGCTCAAAGACTCTTTTGCAAGTATTTTTGTTCCATTCAAATCCACTGGCAGGCCATTCCGCGGTGAACATTTTTGTTTTGTTTTCCTCGAACATTCCGTTTCCTGTATCCGGGAAGAAGCAGGACAGTTGGGATGTCGCTGTATACTGAGGGACATTTTTTTCGACGCGTGTAAATCAGCTCATGTTCAAATGAGTAAAGAAGAAGGCCCAGCGGCGCGTGGTGCGCACCCGCAATGACTAACAGGTGTTCCATTGAAAAATCCGCGGGAGGCGTCTGTTCGAATCGGACAGGGCCATGAAACGTCCTTCCCGGCTTTTTATTTGCTTCACCCTTGCTGCGCATGATTTTTCCAGCTATGCTTGTTTCTTAATAAATACGTGTTTGGCGCTGCAGAACGCGATTTGGCGCTCATCACGCTGAGATTTAGGCAGAGCCAATTAAGTGCGCAAATATTCCACCGTGTAAGCGACCGAAGCCTCACGAGTCAGCACCGACCATCAGTTCAGTTTAGGTTGATAACAAAGCCCGGCGGCGCGTGGGTGCGCACCTGCGATTGATATGTCACTGTCTGCGAACCTTTCGGCAGGAGTGGTCTGTTCGATTCGGACCTGGGCTATGGTTCGTTGCGAAATAATACTTTTGTTTGCCGTTTCCGTTCAGATAAATTTGCCTTGATTCCTAAAGGAAAGTATAAGGGAAGCTCTCAAGCTCACGGGACTACATCCCAGGGAAATACGCGATTCAGAATCGTTCAGGCCCAGTACTGAGCTTTTGTTGTTGGACCCGGCTGCAGAGGACAAAATTGGATTGCATTCCTCCTTGTGCGACGCCACAAATCAGCTCGAAAAACAATCCAGTTCCGCGCTGACTCTCATCCACGCCTTATGGCTCGGAACCAACTGCACGTCCGTCGTCCACTGCGGGTGCTCATAATACGTCGTCTGCAGCATCTCCAAGCACGGAAATACGGTGCCCAGGAATTTGGCGACGTGGTGCGGCTTGGTAATATCGATTGGCGAGTACGTGATGTCGAGGAGCTCAAGGCGTGCCTGCGAGACGCGCTTCCGCACGCCGGTCTTGGAGCGGAGGCGGAGGGCTGGGATGGTCGTGGCGTCGAAAAGGATTTGGAGTTCGTCCAGGTGCGGGCAGTGTTGTGCGAATGCGTAGAGCCCCTCGAGCGTCACGCGGGGGGTGATGCGATAATTGATGTTGCAGGGGAGGCGCAAGCGTTCGACGCATGGCCAAGCGCGGGCCATAGCCAGAACGACATCGTCGTCTAGATCAACGCCGGCCGTGTGTGCAAGCGACACGACGGTGAGATTTTGGAAACGGAATAGAGGTTTAAGCTCCTCGCCCGAAACCAAGTACAGATACAGCTGGTCTGGCGCTATGAAGTCGGGTGTATCCTGTTTCCGTACGAAGATCGTTCGAAGCGACGAGTTATTGCAGTTCGTCGCGAGCGCAGAGTATAACTGGTGGATTGTGCGTTTCGTCGGGGTAGCTGGCCAGCTCTTTGCGGTTAAGGTGAAATCGACGAGTCGTGATGGTTTCGCCTGCTCGAATAGGATGGGAGCGTGTTCGATCGACCCAGATTCAAGCTCTGTGAGGGCTGAGAAATGAGGAAATCTGGCCGGAGGCGGAAGGGAGGGGAGGGGCTCGGTCGACTTCAGGGACAAATAACGAAGCAGGGGGGATGCAGCTACATGGGAGAAGGCCGCGGGATCTAAATCACCCACGGTGAGTGTCTCGAGGTCCCGCAGCGAACAGATGAATCTGGAAAGGGCGGCCCTGGCCGCGTTGCCTGCGCTACCGGAAATTTTGAGAGACTTGAGACGCGGAATTTTATCCGTCAGCGTGTCGAATATCAACGCGTCCGGGATGCGATCCAGTGTCAGGTCGAGACGAGTCAGGCCTGGAGAAAGAAATAGCCGGATGTAGTGGAAAACTCCGCGTTGCTTGGGTTCCCATTCGAGCGTTCGCATATTGGGGAAGATAAAGTTCCCTGGGAAACTCGAACTGAGGGTCTCGTAGACCTCTGCAGTTGCCCGGTGCACGTGGCTGTCCTTGAAAGACTTCACCCGGTGGGCATAGAAGATAAAGCGGGTCCAGTCGGCAGTCGTGACCACCCGCCGCAAGACCTGTACGCAGTTAGCGGAGTTTGTAAGCAAGGCCCTCTGAAACGCACAATTTTTAATCGCAGAATACCGTCTTCGTCGTCCGCGTCGTCCGCGTCTCGTATTTCGGTGATATCCCATATATCGTCTGGCATGGTACGTAGGAGATGGAGGATGGTCGCTTGGTATGCCCACAGAGCATTGAGCGCAGGCTCCAGGAAAATCGTGCAGGTTCTCGCGAGTCTGGATAGATCACCGCGACGATCCGGGTAGCTCTCGGTAGGGACCCCTGCGCACAATTCGGAGGGCCCATCGCACGCAACCTGTTCACATATCATTCCCACCACTTCAACAATCTGCCATGCTCGATGCATCCCTTCTGGCGGCGTGAATATCAAGAAGCAAAGGAAGCGAGGTAGAGCGAGGTATCGACCACTGCGACGTGCGTATAGACGCAGAACAGTGGTAGGTACCCCCTTTGCCGGTGTCGAGCTGTACGTGTGCCCCGGGCGATTTCAGGTCTCCAGGGTTGCGAAGGTCCGAAGGGGGGCAGAAAAGAGGTAAGCGACGAGTTGGCGACGAGCGTGGGACAGAAAAAATTGTCACGCAACCGGGCCGGTGATGGGCAAGTACTTCGTCGATAGATTCCTTGGGCCACGCTGGCGCAGTGAGTCCGGTATGGTGTATCGGTTAACATATGTGCTTTTCATTTCATCAAAGTGGACAGTTACGCACGTGCGCGGGGTTCGACTCCCCGTACCGGAATACTTTTTCGCTATCCTAAGTTGATTACGCAGTAACTGTGATGGATTTGGCACTTTTGCATGCTGTACGTACTTTATCTTATTTTAGCCTCCATGCCTCGTATGTACTTTTATTCTCTAGGTTCAACACTGCTTTCCGAGTCAGGCTCTCGCTGTCTCGGGCATCTCGGTGTTGAACCTCGGGTATGGCTCGGGCATGGGCACTGCCCGAGTCATTTGACTCGTAGTCGTGGAACCTCGTGGAATACCGTAGACACTCTGTACCGTATAAAAGGAGGCTCTCTCCTCTGTGAATATATCTTCTTCTTACCACCCAACTACATCGTAAACCCACACAAACTCACTGCTTACCTGCGTTATTCTCTTACCGGGCCTTCAGCGCTCATCCTTCGTTTAGCATTTTCTAGCAGCCTTGGACCAAGACATGCTCTGGTTTAAATCTCAGACTTCCGGTGTAAGCTTGTCTTTGACTGACTATATAAAGGTTCCAGTATTTGAACCCGAATATAAGTCATTCCCTCTCTTTAAGGATATCGCACCCCGCGTGATACCTGTTTCTATTACAGCAACCGAGACGCGTCCAATGTTCTCACAGTTCGAGATACGTACATAATCTTGCCTTCACGTTTTCGGTATCCGTCTCTGTCCACCTGCAAATGGTATGTACAAACTTCAACACTCCAGATTCGTGCATGGCAAAAACCTGTCTCTTGCACGCTATCTTCCCTATGAGTTGAACGAAGTACAGCCCTGTGACACATATGGTCCAACACTAACAAATTTCGCATCTATGTAGTTACACGATTCTTGTGAAATCTAAAGCCTCTGTGTCTTCTGCGGCAAGACGATGCGCTTGACAGCTGAGACCTGGTCAAATCTCTTCCACGCTTCCTCCAACACATCGATGTTCAATCCACCGCTAACGACTTCAATCTTCATCGGCTGCGTTCCTAGCGTCAGAAAATTTCCAACGGGCAAAACAATTAAATACCTTGATTTTGCCGTCGGCCAGCAGCCCTTCCAGCTGAGCGTACAACTCGCGAGACAAGGCGCTGTATTGCGGGGACACAGATGATGCCCAGACCATGTACACGTCGATGCCCTCGGCCTCGGCCTCGGGGACGGGGATGGGGATGATTTGCAAGAGCGTCTTTTTGCCTTGGCTGTACTTCTTCGAGTCTTTGAGGATCGCGAATCCCAGCTCAACCGTTTCCTTGGTGGAGATGGTATCGAAGACGAGGGAAAGCGTGGGGGCCAGTGCGGCGACGGCTTTAATTACGTCCGCATCGGCGAGGGAACGGTCGATGACGTGGGTAGCGCCGAGGGATTTGAGGAGACTTTCGTTCTTCCGCGAAGCGGTGGTTATGATGGGGGAAAAGCCGGAGAGTTTGGCAAGCTGGAGAGCTGGAGAAAATCTGTGAGTCAATGGGTATCATTACATAAGGGCAAAGTTGAAGGACACGCCATAATGTCCAGTGGCACCCGCACCGCCCAGGATGACGATCGGCTGGCCAGCATACCTGGCGCGTCCGCCTGGGGACACTGGGGACATGAGACCAGCTCCATGGGGAGGTTGGGCACACAGTGCGTGCAAGCTTGTGAACAGTCCCACGGGAATAGATGCGCCTTCTTCCAGGGATATATTCGGAGGCAACTAAATCAGATGAGAATAAGTCTGTGTATATGGTTGGCCCGGTCGTAGATGCTCACCCTAGTGACAAGCGCCGAGTGCGCGAGACTGTACTGTTGATACGACGCGATATCCTGTTTCTGACCCGCGGTCTCAAAGGCGCTGCATAACCGTCGTTGAAAAATATACCTCCCAAGCAGTGCAATGAAGGAACGAACGTACACCCTATCGCCGACCTTGAGTCCTTTGACGTCGTTTCCGAGCGCAACAACGACGCCAGCAGCTTCGCCCCCAGGCACGGTGGGGAGATCAGGCCACATTGGAATGTGCATCACTCCGATGCGTGGATCTACAGGATTGAGTGCCGCGGCTTCCACACGAACGAGGACTTCTTCTGGCCCCGGAGTAGGCACGCCTCTGTCCTTTATAGTGCGAGACAAGGGATTGGAGGAGACGATCACGGCGAGATTGGTTTGAGGAGGCATAATTAGAGGGTTGAGTGCGATGCATTAGCTTTTGTAATAGTATTGGCAGAACTTGCTTATTCAACATAATTAGGAGCTTCGGCCTTGGGACAGCATGCCCGATGGAATACAAAGTCGCCAAGAGGCAAGACACCGGAGAGGAGGGATTTGGTTCCCCCGGAGTAGTCAACCGGGGACGTATTTAGACTCCGATTCTGCCAGTCATCGCCGAGTACAGCCCGAACCTGGAAGCGTAACTACGTCTGCACTCGCCTTCGCATCTGCTTAGATCCATGGTCTGTCATATCAACAACACCTCGCTTGTTGGACTTTTTAAGTGCCTCATAAGCTCTGCCCGTCCGGCGCTCTGGGTTAAAATGGAACCAGTGGGACCGTACTTGCTTGCCATAAATGATTGGATTTTGCACTCCTCTGAGGAAAGGAAAGTTCCATCCAGGCTTTCAACCCACAGAGCGACGGCCGCCGCCGGAGCGCATCTGGAGATTTCTCCTTGATACCGAGGAGAATAGGTCCAAATCTCCTCGATATCTTCTTTTCCACATATCATCCGAGAAGAGTTGAACTTTTGCCAAACGAAGATGTGGGAGAGGGTGGAAAAATAAAGAGCGAAACAAGGTCGCAAGACGATGCGAAAACTCACCGTATATGAAACAAGAGAAAGAGGGGTGGGGTTTGGGGGAAGTAATTCAGGCAGGGTCCAGATGGGTACAGTGGCTTCTTGGAGTCATCCAAAGCAGTGGCGAAATGGGGCCCGCAACTTGAAAGTACATGCTGCACTCGCCAATCACTATTCAATTGTATACAATCCCGATATAAAGCTTGAACTCGGCCAGGCCGGGGTTCAACAGGGTTGCTTCAGTACAACTTCAGTAATAATCAGTACTGTATGCCGTCCGTTCAGTAAATCAGGCATACGTACCCTTCTTAATGGCTAGTCCTTGAAGTCGGACTCACATATCATATTCTGCAATTAAATTCCAAAGCACAGTGCGAAGTGCAAATTTGGCTCTGTAGTTTTGGCGTGGTTGAAATCCGGCGCCGGAACACGGGCCACGTCACGGGACACGTGTGGCAGTGCTGCAGGGCTGTGCTCCCGACTTTTTCCTTCTCTCTCCCAACTCTCTCCATTTCTCTCTGTCTACGCATTCGGATTGAAGCACTCCCTGTCAGCAACGTGATCCGCTGGCCGAAATCTCATTCTTTTCCTCAACCTCCAGGTCCCATAGAACTCACTGAGGCAGCTTTTATCTTCTGCGACTCCGACAAGAAGCTTCTGAAGTACTGCCATCGAACCGCCATTCAACTCAAACGGCGCTATCCTGAAGACTCCGTTCCCCGCCTTGTGGCAGCAGCAACCCGGACAGTGCTCGCTCAATCCAATCCCGGAATTCGGGGATGAAGACGAACAGCTTTTTCACTGATGCGCTGGTACCCAACACCGACTCACCCGCAAAACCGACGGGGACATAGCTTTTGAAACCATTTGTGACTACAGCTATTCAGTTTCTATGGGCGCCTCTCGGTCTCTGCGGGGCGGCATTTCAAACGCCGTGATGCAGCTCTCGCCATAAATGCGGCCGGCTCCTTACCAGTTCCCCATTCTTCTTCTCCCCTCCCACTTGGGCCCTTTACCTGTTTTCTCCTGCGACGAATCAAATGTCGTCGTATCTTTCACTTCTCTTACTTGGTGCGTCAACGCTCACGGGTGCGATCGCCACGCCCGTGCAGCGGTCGTCGTATTCGAGTTCGTCGTCGTCCACGGAAGTAGACGTGTAGGTGCCCGCCACTACTTGCACGTGAACTGTCTGACAAACTTGGCCTCAGGTCGATCTGCCTTTCGTTCAATGAGAACTACTCGGCCACTGCCGATGGCTATGGGCTCAAGGCGTCGGTCAGCGTCAGCGAGACCGTGGTCGAGTGTATCTATCTCGACGAGTCTTCGTGCTACTACAGCCGCCATGTAAGTATCATTCGTGGCGTGGATTTCAGCAGGCTCACTCATTTTTTTTGGTAGGACGGAAGCATGATGACCAGCCAGTATACGAGCGGGAAAACCTGCCCGCACAGCATTAACCAGAGCCAGGTCACTGTGTCCGTGACTCCAATTCTGCAAAGTTTCCCTTGTTCTGACGAACGTACAAATCTAACAGCTCCAAGTTGGTCTGCCAATCCGTGGATCTCCAGGCCCACCTTCTCATTGGTGCTTCGGTAACCGTTACGGAGCACGAACTGGCCTGTGCGTACAGTGACTCATCTATGTGCATGTACGACGGGGTGAGTTAATTTTCTCCGGGCGTCCAAGAGTTTTCTAACCATCGCACTAGTCCAAGGGATCCATGACTCACGGCGGGAGCTCATGTCCCACCAAGGTTACGGAATCGGCCTCGATTTCTTTCTCGGCTGCCATCAGCGCTGCCAGCGCCTTCATGCCTTCTCCTTTGTCCATCGACTTCCCTCCCATCGGCTCCAATCCCTTCGGGGGCTCCAACCCCTTCGGCGGCTCGTCGCCCTTCGGCGGGTTCCCTGCCGCCGCCGCCGTCGCTGGAAGCTCCGCCTCCGCCTCCGCCAGCAGCGGAGACGTGTATGTTTTCCCCTTCTTCATCCCCCGCTTTGTGTTTTATTCAGATTTCTCGCACAGATCCGAGACCATCTGCCTGGCGTTCAACGAGAACTACACTGCCACCGCTGACGGTTACGGACTCAAAGATACGCTCAGCGTTAGCGACACTATCATCGCGTGTGTCTACCTCGATGAGTCGACGTGCTTCTACAGCCGCGACGTCAGTTCTGCTATCTGGAGCTGTGATATCAGCTAATACCTTCTTGGCTACAGGATGGGAGCATGATCACCAGCCAATACAACGGGAAGTACTGCCCGTCTACTAT